GTCATAGGTTCGCCATCACTGTCCTAGCTCTCCATCCAATTTATCCAAAAGAAAGGATCTTTGTAACACTAGAAACAAGATTGAATGCTGGTGAAAGATCTAGGATAAACTTTTAACACATGCAAATTACTGCAACATAAGCCTTGGGAATGATACACCACCCCACAAGAGCAGTGGTTCTCAACCTGTGTGTCGGGACCCCATTTGGGGTCGAACAACAATTTCACGGGGGTCGCCAAACAACGCAGTCTGCCATTTTTTTCCTCTTTTCCTTAGCTGTGCTACTCCCTTTTATTCTATTGGCTTTTGAAAGCCAATAGAATAGACTCTCTTGAATAGAGTCTAATTCTATTGGCTTTCAAAAGCCAATAGGAATTGTCCAGGCTGTCTCTGCCCTGCTGAGCCCGCCAAAAGTCCCATTCTGCAGACGGTGCTGCACCAGTTGAGTAGTCCTCGACTTACGACTGGTTGGGGGGTCGCGGCATTAAAAAGGTTGAGAACCACTGCCCAAGAGTGATGTGCTCCCATCATGCTGTAATTTAGGAAATTATTAAAGTTCTGGCTGCTTTAGGGAGAGGGTGATTGTGGAGCCTCCTTTTGCTTGCTTTGTTTTGGTCTTATTTTGAACCGTTTGTCCTTGTCAATTGAATCTTGTAGATGTATATTGGTTCTTGTAAACCTGTCATTTGGGAATTGGCCAGCCTGTAAATAAGATAAATAATAAATAACAAAAAATTTAATAAAATTTGTAGTGCTGTCATGTTATATTGCTTCTCTGCTGTAGTGATCATCATGTGGATTATAAATTCAGTTGTAGGAAATGCTTTCCCTGTTCATAGAATATGAGTCAGGAAAATAGTCAAGTTTTAGTAATTTAGTGCTTAAGAACAAGGCTCTAAAACAGTGATGGTGAACCTTTTAGAGACCGAGTGCCCAAACTGCAACCCAAAACCCACATGCATTGGTGGGTGCTGGGTGGGTGTGGCCCATTGGCTGGGTGTGGCCCATTGGCTGGGTGTGGCTGCAGTGGTAATGGCAGACTGGGTGGGACTAAAAAGTTCAATCAATTCCAACTTTGCAAGATCTTTTTTTCCCGCGAGAAGTTGAAATTGACTGATTGAACCTATTTTCTTTTTGCACACGGCAGCAGAGGCCTAAAGCGAAAAGGTTTTATAAAACCCAGCTGAAGGCCTAGGACTGGGGCGATGGCGCGCTTGCCCACAGAGAGGGCTCTGAGTGCCGCCTCTGGCACCCGTACCATAGGTTCGCCTCCACTGCTCTGAAATGTATGAACACATTTTGTGTTACAAATTTTAATGGCATTTTGGGTTACAAAATTTGGTGCCATACCCCAAACTGCTTTTTCTACTAGTATTCTGGGAGTTCAAGTCCACAAGTCATAAAGGGCCAAGTTTGAAGACCCCTGGTCAAAATGATATAACTGAAAAAAGATGTAGTTTAGTTCATTTATAATTTCAGTAGCTTCTCAAGATAAACACAGAAGTACTGTATTTGTACATTTGATAAGAAGATTCAAAGAATAGCTAATGAGCAGTTTGCATTGTGGACAACCCATTCCACTTCAACAGTTTTCAGGTTATCTTTTCAGTCTGGAGAAAATACACTACAGATTGCCCTCATCTTATGACCACAGTTGAGCCCAATTTGCTGCCTCCAGAATTGCAACTTGGGGAACTCTGGAAGTTTTGACACATTTCGAGAATGCAGATAGTCCTAACATATGGCCACAATTGAGTCCAAAATTCTGCTGCTAAGCAAGACTGTTAAGTGAATTTTGCCCCATTTTACGACTTCTTGTCACAGTTATTAAGTAAATCACTGCAGTTGTTAAGTTAGTAATGTTAAGGGAATCTGCCTGGTATGCATTGATGAAAAATTGTGCATATAATTAATACGTGCTCTGTTTACCTGAATCTGCTGATATTTGATTCCTGCTCATTTGAAGCTGGAATGCAACTTTGTTTCATCTTTGCATTTTTATGAAGAAAAATGAAAATTAATACCTGGAAAGGTTACTTTAAAACAATGTTTCCTAACCTTGACAATTCCAAGATATGTGGACTTCAATTTCCCCTACCTGGGGAAATGCATTCAGAGAAGTCCACACATCAAATTGCCAAGGTTCAGAAATGCTGCTTCAAAGAATCAGCTTTCAGTATTTCTTTTCCATGCTTTCACATTGCAGTATGATTGCTAGGTCAAAACCAATTTAACAGATGACTGTAGTAACAAGCAGCAGATTCTTCTATCAGCCAGAAAATGAAGACCAGAATCGATCTTCTTCTTCTTCTTCTTCTTCTTCTTCTTCTTCTTCTTCTTCTTCTTCTTCTTCTTCTTCTTCTTCTTCTTCTTCTTCTTCTTCTTCTTCTTCTTCTTCTTCTTCTTCTTCTTCTTCTTCTTCTTATTATTCTTCTTCTTCTTCTTCTTCTTCTTCTTCTTCTTCTTCTTCTTCTTCTTCTTCTTCTTCTTCTTCTTCTTCTTCTTCTTCTTCTTCTTCTTCTTCTTCTTCTTCTTCTTCTTCTTCTTCTTCTTCTTCTTCACAGGACCCCAAAACCTAAATAGGACCCCGAAACCAGCAGCACTCAGAAATGTGACTATCACCCCAATGTTTTGCACAACCCTCTCGTCGCAGTCCACTTGATTCTAGTACTGTGCGAGCGCTTCTCTTACCAATGGGGCCAGTGGGCAAAGCCTCTTGCTAAAAATTGGATGGCCCTTTTCTAGTTTTGTTGGGTGGGCCAACTCTTCAATGTCTCGCTGCCTTTTCCGCTTTAGCCTACCCCTAGTGTACAAGGGGATATTGCATCCATTCCACGGGAGCTGGTCCTTAGTACATTGAAGGAAATGGTAGGCTGGATAAGGGCAATGGGCGTAGAGCAGGGGTCCTCAACCTTGGCAATTTTAAGACTTGTGGACTTCAACTCCCAGAATTCCTCAGCCAGCAAAGTTGAAGTCCACATGTCTTAAAGTTGCCAAGGTTGAGGTCCCCTGGCGTAAAGAGCTGGACTGAAGGAAGGAAAGTCAAGCAAGGTAATAAGGATGGAAAGGGGGAGCCCAAAGGCAGCCTGGGATTCTCCCATGGTGCATCTGTATTTTAGATGTGTTAATGCAAGTGAAATTCTGCTCTGGGCCAGTGAACTTGACCCCATCTCTTATTTAAAGGCTAAAGCAGTGGTCTCCCAACCTTGGCTACTTTAAGATTTGTGGACTTCAGCTCCTAGAATTCCCCAGCCAGTATTTAAAGCCACAAGTCTTTGTGGGTTAATGAAATTGGGTGTAACAAGTGACAGGACTTATCTCAAAAAGCAGAGCAGAATTGGGTTTGGTTGAGGTTCATATAAGATACTAGGAGAAGCTGTCACAAAACATTTCTGTAGAATTATAGATAATATTTCCACATAAGCCTTAGGAGTTGCATTTTTACCTATACAGCACACCACCCATTGCTTAGAAAGTATTACGTTTCATTGGAAAATTTCAATGCAGCTGAAGCTAGAACAGTAAAAAGCAATTACTTTATAAGGTAAAAAAGATATATGAAAGAAAACTTGAGAGGAAGTGTTTTGGAAGAGAATCCACACTTTATTTTTTTTTAATTAGTGGCTGCATTTAAACTGGCAGATGAAATAAAAAGTAAACATCATTTTAAAAAGGAAAATATTTACATCATATACAAACAGTACAGAAATACATAAGGCTAAGGCCAAACTATCTCATTCCAAAATTAATACAGAGAAAATATTAGTATTTTCTTGGAATGGAGTCAAACAGTTGTCCCATAATTCATGATACAATATTTGACTACAATTCCAATTTTGTAAAACTTTGAGAAAGGAGAAAACGCATCCTCAGTTCAATGGATTTCTGTTTGAAAAAGGACCCATGTTTTTAAAATAGTGTCATATATGTATGTAATAGTAATTAAATTCTATAGTCAGAATTATTTTGCATAAAGATATACAAAACTGGATGTTTTTGTACTATATGAAGATAATCTATCTAAAGAAACATGATAATATAAAAGTACAGTGTATTAGCTTTTCAATAATGATTTACAGGAAATAACGTAATGAAATATATATGTACTGATAGCTATTTTAAAGAGAAAGAATAGGAACAGTTTTCAAAAGCATATTAAAATATCTTGAAATATTTATGCATATTTAACAAAGTAGTTATTTAACAAAATGGAAGGTTCAGCAAAAGTATGTACAAACACAGAGATGTCAAACTCTGGTTACTTGATATCTTCACAACAAAATATAAAAACAATGCCCCATCAACACTCATGTATAAATCAGCTTTGATAAAGTTGCCTAAGGATTTGTACATCAACTTTCATTAGATAAAAAGGCAAAGTATGTCCTGTAAGTTAACAAAGCAGAAACATCATCAACAAAAAATGCTTCCAGAAGTCTTATTCTGCAGAAATTATGTACCTAATGTCCAATTAAAAAAAATAAAATAAAAGTGATAATCTCTTGAAGAATTACCTATCCATAAATAAACAGTTTCTGTCTTATATGAAATTGTCATTCTGAAGTTATTTCAAGAACCCATTGATTATTAAAAGGTAATATGGGAGAAAGAAATCTTTCTTTTTCTTTTTCTTTTGCCTGTATCAGCTCAATCTAGAGCCATCCACAGGCAGCAGTCGCCAACTGCGACATCATTTGGGCCGACAGGATGCATCAAAAAACACTCAAGGTAAATCTCCTCCCCCTGTCTCTTCCCTCCCTGATACAGCTGACAAAGTGAGAAAGAGCCTGTGGCCTAGAGGTTAACACAGCTGCCTAACATGCACATAGCCCAGGTTCGAATGTCAGAAGAGTATGTCTGGCTGAAGAGAGTTAAGAAGCTTGAAATAGCTATTCCAGTTCTCCCTTTATTCTTTGTTGGCAATCTAAAATGTATATGTAAATGATGTCGCAGTTGGTGACTGCTGCCTGTGGATGGCTCTAGATTGAGCTGATACAGTCAAAAGAAAAAGAAAGAAGATTTTTCTCCCATATTTGGGCCGACAGGGTGCATCAAAACACACACACACACACACACACATACCTATCATTGCTACCTATTATCTGTAAAGATTAGTAATGATGTATTGATTTGCATTCCCAGGACACAGTAGCATTTCCCGTAAAATTGAATCAAAATTAATATTTCCATTTTATGCTGTCAGAATGATTTTATTTCTTATGGGATGGTGTACATGGAATGAAAAAGCAAAGAAACAAGGCAGATTGACAGGAATGGGCAATCTTCAATACACCTTAGTTCAGGTAATACAGACTTTCAGTGTAATTCAAAAGATTTTTCAGTGCCTTTGGGTTTTCTCAAATTCCTATTTTTGAGTCATTTTACCATGCCCATTTCCACAACCATGAACTTGCAGGAAAAAATTTACATGAAATCTCGTAAGCATTTGTGTGCATTTTACTTATTCATATATGAATCACAAATGTGGAATTAATACTTTCCTTAGCACACATACTTTTTGTGAGTGATTTTCGGCTATATAAATCACTGACATTATGTATTTTCTTCACATTAAATATGCACATTGGGAAATTTAGACCTGAAAATCATGTCATAGATTTCTTACATGCGTGCTCCTGTTTGGGGGCAGATTTAATAAGTGAGTATTGGGTAACTATTAATATTTGGATCAAGTCAATTTCTCTTTTTACGATTTTTACCTATAGAAATTGTGCCAAGTACTTTTGCATGCCAACTGTTGTTCTGATAAAGGAAAATAATTGCTAATGTTTGCTTAAGAGTTCACATTGCTGTAATGGGAGGTAATGTAATGTTTCTCATAATTGCAGAAAAGTTTGGATAGTTGGAAAAATACCTCCAGATTCAATTTCACTTTTCTGATAGAGAAGTAGCCTGAGAGATAAAACCGTCCTTGAGTGGGTAAGATAAGAAGCAGTAGATTCACATCAATTTCATAGTTCAAAATCATTTAGCAGGCAAGATTTCATTTCTCTTTTTAGAACTTCATTCAGAAAATTGTTCTTTGGGAATTTTGTTGGTTTGTGTGTGTCTATATGTGTGTAATATATTTGAGCAGGGATTAGATATATATTGTGAAAATATATGGATTTATTGAAAAAAAAGGGTGGCTAAGCAGCAAAAGTAACACAAGAATAATGGCACATTCACCAGAGGAATAAAAAACAGGTTGAAGCAAGATATTTTCAGATAAATGGGCAGGAAATTTTTCAGCACTATCTTGCATTGCTTAATGTACTCACTGAGAATTTTGCATGATGGAAGAGATATTTATGGGTTTTGTGGCTTTTCCTTATAATTTCCATTAATGTCTAATTTTTAAATTACATGATAACCACAACAAGAAAATTACAGCATGTAACAACAACTACTGTGTCCAGTTCCATGTAATCGGGTCTAAAGTTGAGCTAGACTTTCCTTATTTAGATTTGAAATACTGCAGCCTAACTTCAATATGCAAGCAATCAAAATGCCCTAAAAACTTTATTGAAATCCAGTAATTGTTTTTGTAATCTGGATTTGCCAGATGTTGCTAAAATTTAATTTGAGGCATGCTGAACTCCCAGCCAATATGACCAAAGTGGTAGAAAATACTGGGCCATCAGCATCCCTTATGAACACATATTAAAAAGTTTAAATATTGACAACGTTTGGGTGGATTAGGCAAAAAAGGCAGCATGGAAATTTTCCATTTCAGCTACCATTTCAAAGCTTTGAATTAGCACTAGCCACTCATTCTTCTCAATAACAATGGATTCCAAGCCCACCTTCTGCCTGAATAAAAAATTTCTTTAACTCTCCTGGTCCCTAAACTTTTTTTTAAAAAAAACCTATAAATTATGCAGTTTAGCCATAGTTGTACACAATGATAGCCAACAACTAAAATGAAAGGAGAGGGCAGATGAATCACTTCCATGCGATGCACATGTAATTGAAAAATATACAGATTATATCTACACTTGAATATGCATCCTCTTATTTATATAGCTTTAGCTGCACTGCATTACTTTTATTATGCATCCTTGTAGTTTTATTAGCTTTCTTCAGCCTGGTGTTTTCCAGATGTATTGGATTTCAGTTCCCCTTGGCTGTGCTGGCTAAGGATGATAGATCTTGAAGTGTGTCAACTGGAGCACACCAGATTGTGGAAGACTGGACCTACATTGTTAGAATTAGTTAGTTAGGGAATCTATGGTTGTTTGGTCCCCAGGATAGTTTGTGGAAAATAAATTGTCAACTGAACATTAGTCTCTCAGAAAAAAAAAAGCACCAACATTATATAGTAATTTGGAAGGAAATAAAACCATTATTTAGAAACAATAGAATTAGGAACAGTTACAGTATGCATTGCAGAAAGCCTTAAAGTGAAATGACTAAAAATATAGCTTAAGAAAAAGAGAAATCTAATACTACATAATGAATAATAAGATAGGTCATTGCTAACTTAACACAAGTGAACTCATATATATATTTCTTACATAATAAAAAAAGGCACACCGCCCTGCAGTTCTGGTCACATTTTTTTTCTCTGCACACAGATGCAGATAAACAAGTCTACAGAAATACAATGAGAAATCTAAAACTTGCATCAATTCCATTTTTGTAAATACAACATCAGTTTTGCTTGCTTTGTGCGAGACAGCAGCTTCTCTGAAACTGAAAAGGTTGTTTTAGATCTCTATGGAGAACTGACTACAACACTGAATAAATGTCCTTACTATGGTATCTGACAAAAGTTCTGAATTATGGCTGGTGTAGTATATTCATGCTCAAACTGTTGATTTTGATGGCATTTAATTATAACTATGCATTGCTTAGTGATCAGTATATTTAGGAATTAGATGTAATTCAATAATATACATGAATGAAAAATAGCATTAAAAATCTTGGATCATTTTGATTTGGTATTGATTTTGCTCTAAGATAAAGCTACAAAAGTGACAACTTGGTGGTACTGAGTAACAATTAGGTTTTACATTAAACTAATTTTTACAATTTATTCCTCCTATTTTAAAACTCTTCTACAGCTTCACTAAACAGAATAGAAAAGTTCAGAATCTTGTACTTTGAAAATGAATCACAAAAGGATGCGTTGGATTTTGTATGTGTTTCCATTCATTAAGAGAATGCCATTACCCTTAGGATTCTCAATGAATATCTTATAAATTCCCTCCAATATTCAGAAATAAAATTTTAAGAATTTGGAGGGAACTATATCAGAAAGTAAGAAAGCCTTTGTCTTAATTATTATTCAAGGAAAGGACGTTAGCTCCAATAAGCATTTCTATTTCATTTATCATCACTCTTTTTTAAATGTTCAAAGTTATTAATCCAGAGATTTGCCAATCCTTCAGTAGGCCTATAGAGTTCATGTATGGATCAATTTCAAAAATTCGGAAGACTACTCTGTGCCAGCAAGTTGTTGTACAAGATGCTGGATTGTATGGTTGGACTGAAATTTCACTAAGAGTTATAAATCTAATAAACTACAGGAAAAAAATTAAAAAATCAGAGAAACAAAATGGGTTGTTTGCACATGTCTTCACAACAGAAGACATTCCAGAAGTCAGAATATCTCATCTCGTTCTTTTTAAATTTAATGCATACAAACCAAGGGATAAGTATACATTGATAAATTATGAAATACTGCAACTGTATTGCAAATGTTTACTGTTTCTGCAGAACTGTATAAAAATAATTTACTAAAAATCTTCAATAATAGAATCAAAGGTGAAGTGTTATACTTTTTTGGCTATTTTTCCCCATAGACAAGTATTAGAAGTATTATAAAAGCAGTAATCTCTAAGTTTTAGTACTGGGACAGTTGTGTTGAAAAAAATCTATATAATATATTATCAGGACAAACGTCAAGCCATATGTTTCTAATACAAAAAATACAAGTCCAAAAATTACTAAAACAATGAAAATAATGCTAAATGAAAATGATCTTCTACTACACTGAAAAGAAATAACTTTCTGGAAGAAATAATTCATCTGCTTTTGAAGAGAATCTGTGAAAGTATTGAGGGAATCATCAAATCTGAATACAGTACGTGAATGTTCATCAACTGGCAAGCAGAAAATGATGAACTGGTTGTATTTTCACTGGACTATTCAAAATCTAGATTCTGTTTATCATCTAGACAAACAGAAAGTCCTTTAAAAAAAATCCAGCAGTCATAGAACTGTTGCCTATGTCCTAATACATTTCACACCATGTTAGACAACGTGGTTGAGATCTTCGCTGAAGGCTTCCATCATGATAACAGACCAAACTGAAAAGGAAAAAGTAGGAAACAGAAGCCAATTTCTTCCTGATCAACTTTGTGCTGACTCTGAAAGGAGAGAGCAAAAACCCGCACACTCAGTCCATCTTCTGTAGCCTCACCAGGCCTGCCATTCAGGAACAAAACTCCGATGTGCATGACTCAAGAACATTTCGGTGCTCGTTGGTGGTAATGCAACATCTTCAGCAAATCTTTGAGCAAGAGGTTCTTCGGTCATCGCCGCAGACCTTCCACAAATTATCTGCACTCTCTTACTTGTCTCATTATTTTGCTATCAGCCAAGGAGTTTGACCCTTTAAGGGACAGATGTAATTATTTTACATAGAAATGTCTCATAGAATGTAATAAAAGTGCTGCTTATATTTGCATAAATACTAGGCAAAAATGTCCCTTAAAATTACATCTATGCTGCAATGTGATCCGTAATTGCCCTTTCTAGCTGCAAGTTTAGTATTTGGCTTACACTGCTAGCACCCAATTCTAGTTGCCATTTTCATCTGTACCATACTTTAAAAAAATAACTGTCACTTACCGCTGGCATATTTGAAATTTTCCTACAGTTCATTGCTCAAATCAGTAAGTGACACCATAAGTACAGGGCATCTTGTGTCAAATGAAGGCTGGCAAATAATATTGATTTTGCAGATGCATCTACCCACATCCAGTCTAACAGAATATAGACCAGGGCTTCTCAAAGTGTGGTCTGGGGAGCTCTGGGGCTTCCCCAAGAGTCTCTCAGGGGTCTGCAAAATCAATATTATTTGCCAGCCTTTGTTGAAAAATACTATGTTAAAATCCCATCAAACAAATATAAGAAGTGTGAGTGGCAGCAAATACACCAATTGTAATTGCAATACCAATAGTACTTAGACTTATATACCACTTCATAGTGTTTACCGCCCTCTATAAATGGTTTACAGAGTCAGCACATTTCCCCCAACAATCTGGGTCCTCATTTTACTGATCTCGGAACGATGAAAAGCTGAGTCAATCTTGAGCCGGTCAGGATCGAATTCCTGACAGTGGGCAGAGTCAGCCTGCAATACTGCATTCTAACCACTGTGCTACCACAGCTCCTAATAATGGTAATCATAACCCATTATTACAGTCTTCCTAATTCTGTTTAGCTTGATGTTGAGATTATGAGGCAGGGAGAACAGCAATGTATCCTGCACAAACTCTTTACCAATTCTCTTTCATTTTCTTACAAAAATCTCCAGCTCTGAAAAAAGGGTCTCTTTTGGCTTCTTTTTTCTGCATTGTTGCCCTTAAAAATTTCCCTCATCAGAGCATTAAATGGACCTAGTGGCACAAGGATATTGGAAAACTGGGTCTAATGAATTTATGGAGGAGGGAGCACAGAACCAGAGTCATTCCTGATAGACTTTGCTTCTGAAGGCTTATTCTATGCAGCTTCTGAATCTCTTGAAAAGCTATGTACAAAAGCTAGAAATTCTCATTGTTTGCTAAATGATCAGAACGATATTTAGATCTCCATAATTTTGCATCAAAAATTGTGCTTCTGATCAATGACCAGAATCTGATGGAAAAAAAAATCAACTTGGTCTTCACTCATTAAAAACATTAGCTACCTTTTTGGGGGGTATACATACAACTGCTTTGTTATTTTCAGTTTTGAACAATGTTGCGCTTCCTCCCTTTGCGTGTAGTGAAAGAGAAGATGAATTGCCACTGTTACCTCTTACTACATTGATTTCATTTGGCACATTAAAATACCAATATAGAATTTATTTACAAATGCTATTTCATTTCATTTCCTTTTAATAATAAAAATCTATAGTATTTTAATACGTCCTTGCACTCATTGTCATTTTTTTTGTCTTTATATGTACATAGAATGGTTCTTTCTGACATCTTTATCCAATAGCTTATTAAGCTGTAGCACTTACTTTGAGTGCACAAATATCATGCAAATATAGCAGCTGTATTCCACAATGCAAGAAGCACAGTTATCAACATATATATAATTATACAAGCAACTGGCAGACAGCTATAAAGCAGAATTGGAGCATTTTATGTACAAAAATATGCAGCTTTTTATGCATAATCTGTTGGCACTTTCAAAAAAGAACGATGTATAAAAATAAATATCCTATGCACAAACATACAAACAGACACACAGGCCAGTCCATGGTTAGAATATTCACTGCAAAAGAAAAACATATAAAACTATGTTAGTATTACCCATCCTGTTGGAGGTCATTTAGGGGTCATTGACCCATATGATATAATCTTGTGAATTTTTGGTACTTTTGAATATTATTTCAATATACATAATTGGATTCATGGAGAAATCTCTAAAAGTTAGAGATGTTGAATTATACACCCAAACTCTGGAATCTGTCTGTGAGGAATCACTTCTGTTTTAAAAAAGAAACACTAAACAGCCATTTTTGTGAGTTAGAGGCACACAACTTTTTCCCTTCTGAATTCTGAACTGTTACCATCTGAGAAGACAAAATTCCCATTAGAGCTAATCAACTTCCTTCGAAGGGCTTAGTAGCATCTCAGGAGGATCTCTGTACCATTTTGCCCTAATCATCATGTAATATCTAATGTAACTGTCATATACATATTGTATTAAATGGGAAGATATGTTACTATACAACTTTCATGTTGTATAGAAATAATATGTTATAATTTGTTACTTACTCACAACATGCAGTAAGACCTGTATCATAACATGCCATACTTTGAGGAATTTTTACCTTATTCCAGCATCCTTGAATTGGCAACCCATCTTCCCCCTACAAGAGAGAATTATATAATCAGGGTACAGAAGGAGAGAAAAAGACTAAAACAGGCAACATTTTATAAATGTAGAATCTGTACAGCAGAGGTCCCCAACCTTTCTAGGTTGGCGGCCCGGAGGGAAAGGAAGGGGCAGGGATCAGGCTGTATGCACGCGATGCAAATGGGGATGGCGTGAGTGCATGCGTGATGCTGGGGGCGGGGCTAGCACCTGTGCGATGCTCAGGGCAGGGCTAGCGCCTGTGTGACACTCAGGGCAGGACTAACATGAGTGGGGGAAGTGCGCACATTGGCCAGCCATTCATGTGGCCTGGTGGCCAAGGCCATGGCCCGGTAGTGAGCCGTGGCCCACAGATTGGGGACCCCTGCTGTACTGCATGTAAAATAACTGAGTAAGTTAACCTAATGAAATATTGTCTTGCTCAGAGAGTCTACAGACACACTGGACGCCAAAGTGATGCCAAGTTCTATAGTGCAAAATATACACGTCCAATCTCCCCATCATCTAGTTGACTTTAAGACTTTCACTATGATTTATTGGTACATGAAATATAGGTCCATCAAAATCAGAAAGGCTTCCCACTAATTCCTGTGATGATTGTGAAGGTCATTTCCAGGATGGAGCTACTGCTGGTTGAGAAAGATCAAGCCTTTCCCCTTCAAATGCTCCTTGTTAGGCTTCTGAGTACAGGTTGTCCTTGACTTACAACCATTCATTTAGTGACCATTTAAAGTTACAACAGCCCTGAAAAAAGTGAATTATGACCATTTTTTACACTTAAGACTGCTGCAGCATCTCCACAATCACATGATCAAAATTCAGTTGCTTGGCAACTGACTCGTATTTATGGCAGTGTCCCCAGGTTGGCAACTGACTCATATTTACTGCAGTGTCCCCAGGTCATGTGGTCACCTTTTGTGACCTTCTGACAAGCAAAGTCAGTGAGGAAGCCAGATTCGTGTTACTAACTTAACAACTGCAGTGATTTACTTAACAACTATGGCAAGAGAAGTTATAAAATGGGGCAAAACTCCCTTAACAACTGTCTCACTTAACAAAATAAATTTTGGGCTCAATTGTGGTCTTAAGTTGAGGATTACCTGTATAACTCAATGCAGAGGGAAAATGTAGCTCAGCGATACCTGAAAGGGTAGTGGATATGTGGACACCACCACAACCTTCATGTTGTATGAATTTTTTTGTTCCCTTCTCAAATAAAACACTGGTTTTGTTTGGAGAGTTGCAAAACTCTCAAGTTCCCATTCTCCATTAAAAAATGCCAGAATATATGTTGTACTAAGAGTTTCCACTCAGGGGAACTAGTCTGTCTACATGCTCCATATACTTACAGGATTTTCAGGGGAAAAGAAAAAAGAAAAAAAAAAGGCTGCTATGTGACAGTTTCAAATAAACTGTAGCTGAATCTAAAATAAATTGACTCCGATCCCAAACACTGCTGACATCCTGGGTTCACAGAGGACCAGAGCTGGTGCAGAATCCTTGCACGGCAGTAGCCTAAGTAACAATTTTGGTCTTTATATAATCTTGTGCTATCTAAATCAAAGTCTTTAATGCTGTCTCCTAATATTTATAGCTGTAAAATTCAGGAGCTTAAGGTTCTATTAACAAGAAGTGGAAATAAATTCCATTGGTACAATGATCCCATTGATGAGAATGAATTATATAGTGCATTGCACATAAACCCCAAAGTTAGAGAGAGTGTGACAGGAGTTACAAATCAGGGATCAACAGCAGGATATGGTCACAAAAGTATATTTCTTTGAGAAGGCTGGGAATGGAAGCACGAATTAGTAAAAAGGAAAGATTAGGTATCTCAAGTTGAAAAAGCATAATCCCTAAATTTTCACAGAATGCAAAGCAAATGTTAAGTATCTGGCATGCTTGAGTCAGAAAGCATATTAATTTAAGAATGTAAACAAGAAAATTGTATCATTCTTAATATTTTTTTACAAAATGTATTCCTGGATCTACAAGAAGGATGGATATGTATGTCTTTTACAAAATATCACCAATAAATGAAGATTATCTTACAGAGAATTTTGGCAACAAAGTAATTGGAATTAGTCTTAAGAATATCAGACTACACTATTTTAATTCTTATTGAAATTAGATGTTCTGAACATTTTTGAGGTTTCACTGTGACAGCCAAAATATTCAGTGAGATACATGCAAATGTACATACAGTATATAATTTCCAAATTGCCCCAAAAGCAAATATTAATTGCTTAAATTAGAGTATATGCAGAAATGAATAAATTGTTAGGTATTTAAATAACTAGAATTTGAGATTTTAATCCAGATTCTTTGATGAAATTCTTACCAGATTCTCAGTAATATTTCAAGCTAACCTGATCCATTTCATATTCCATATGTTGTTCAACAGTTATCCTATGGTGTTGCAGTGGTGTGTTCAATTAATTTGTGTATTTTAAAATTTTACATGGATGACTTGGGGTTTAAATTTGTCCCCTTTGAAATTAAGGAAAGGTGAAATTACCCAATCCTGTATGTTTTTATCAAACAATGCTCAAAATAAGATAGGAAAAGAAACTTGGCATTTTTTTCCTATAACAAATTCTATTGTGTGTTTCTGTCACTTCAAGGAGATTTCTCATTCTCATGAAAACAAATTTAACCAGATGATTTCCCTGTGCTCACCCGCAAATAAATATTGCAAAGTACTGTCGGGATCTTATTCCCAAATGAAGCAAACTTCTCCAACATCATTTAGAAAAAGTTGGTACAGAAAGGGTCAACAGTCCTATCAGAACACCTGGAGATTATTTAAAAGGAAGATAAGCTAAACACAAGTGACATTTATTATGTTTCATTATATTTTGTTTATTTTATGTGAATGTGGTCCTAGATCTTACTTATATGAATTAAAGATAGCAGATGTATTTTTTTTACAAAATAATTTGATATTGTCATCTCTAAAGGGAGATCCTTAACTAGAAAAGAAAAAGGACTGCCTCCAATAAATAAGGGCAGGAATAAATGGTGCAAATGATCAAATTTGTGGACTTTGGATAGCAGGTTTTCAAAGAACCCTCTTCCCACCATCTGGATCAGATAGGTGTTTTGGGTGCAGGTAAAAGTTTTAGGTGAATAAACAAGAAATGTTATGAGAGTAAGGTTAAGGAAGAAGTAAAGCAAGTATGAAGCTTTTTAAATCCAGGATCAACTCCTGTAGGGTAAGAAAAATAGTAGTAGCAACTAAGCTCATTTTCAAAGCAGTCATGCATTATGCTTGGGTGCTTCTAGTGCCCAAGAACTTTGTACTACAAATTTTTGTAATAGTTTGCTGTGTAATTGTAACTGTGCTCCAGCCATAATGGAGATTCTGATACTGTGACCTTCCATTCGAATCTTTGCCTGATTTTCCTATAACCTTTCTCCCTTCTAGCTTTTATCCCAGTTTGAAAAGGGACTATGGGGGTGTGGGGAAGCAAAACATCTGCCTGGAAGCACCCTGAGCATCAATGATCTGGAAAGCATCTAGAAAGGAAAGGAAAGGGACTTGCAAGAGCAAGTGAACCAACACAATCTAGAACATGCAGGAAAGGGAAGGTAACACCATACCAATGGGCAAGGGGCATCCAGCCCGTCCAGCCCTGGTAACCCCGGCTCACCCTTCTCGCCTTTAAAACCTCGTAGTCCCTGTTCATAAAATCAACCACTAGAATTACTTTAGTCAGTGTACATGATCTGCATTTTCTGGATGGAGAAATTCTGTAAACAATTATGAACTAAATGCACTCAGCTTATAGCCCCAGAATAGTTGCATATCATGGTTAAAAAAAGATAAACCATTTTTTTGTTTTCTGGAATAACCAGAAAATATTCCTTAATTGTAAAAAGTTAGAAGATAGCCTTCCTTCTGGATAAAGTAAAGAATTTAATTAATTAATTAATTATATTTGTTATACATTTATTAATTTACTTAATAAAGGTAAAGCGTTAATTGTAAATGTTTCTACAAAATGGTCCATGTCTGAAATTAATCCTCAAAAGCTTTAAATAGAAGCTGAGGGTTTAAAAGACCATTAATAAAATAGTTTCATATTAGGAACGTTTGCCTTTTCTTCGTACCATGATCAGTTTTCTGCTGGGACCATAAACCAAGTGTCTTGCATCATTATCAACTACAAATTATTATTTTTCATTACATCATTTATTAACCAATCATGGGAAAAAAGAAGGCATTGTAGATTGTGATTGAGTTGTGTTCACCCGATAACTACAACATCAAGTGATGACTTGACATATTGCAGTTCCAATTGCAGTGCACAACTTTCAAATTGTGTCGTGACACTATAGTGCAGCACAATTCACCTAGCATAGCTAAGACACTCAAAAAGTGATGTGTAGATGAATTGGCCTTAATATTTAAAAAAGCAAGTGAAGACAGCTTAAGGTTTTCTAGTTTTTCAGAAATCAGGTGCTTCCAAAGCCCAATTTATATTTCTTTCCATACCCAACAGTACAGATGAATAAAATCACTCTTTCAATGTAATCAATTACTAGTGCCCCAAAAGTGCTTTTTCAAAAGGCAACTTGACTTTCTTATTTTTTTCCCCTTGTAAATGTTTTGCTTCTCAACCAAGTGAAATGTTTTCAAGGAAAAAAAAACAAGAACGTCCAGTTGCCTTTTGAAAAAGCATCTTTGGGACAACCATGACCTGGATAATTGAGATTCTCCATAGACAAACTACTAGTGCCTTTTCTCCTTCTTTTTTCCCCTGTGGCTTATTTTAAAACAATACATTTGATAAAACGAAACATACCAATGGACAGGGTGCGTCTAATCCAGGTGCTCCTTGGTCTCCCTTATCCCCTTTAGGCCCCCTAGAGCCTTTCTTGCCCCTTTCCCCCTGTGAATAATAGTTTATTAAAAAAAAAATACATAAATGGACCATCTAATCCACATATGAGTTCTAGAAACAAAATATAACACGATAAAAATAAGCATTCCAGAGGCTTGATTCTTTAAGCTTTTGCAGGAAACCGTTCTGCATGGACATTGAGGAATGTTACTTTTGCGTTGAGATGAATGCATTTTAAGCCACGTTTAAAATTTCAGATTAGGAGAAGGAAAGGGATTTATTCTCCCATGTTCACCCATCAGATTGTGAAAGTGAGGTCAAGATGTTCAAAAGTCATGTGGCAGAGAACAATTGTTTCCAGTGGTCGTTCTCTTATGTTTGGTGGAAATTCTGATCTCTAGAAGACCCAAGGAGATAATAAATGATTTTATTTCATGGAAGTCATTGGTCTTTTTTTCCCCTGGTGATCAGTAATAAGCAAAAACCAACCCTAAGGATATATTTCTAGATGCTCTTTTTGCCCAGGACATATATAGATCTAGCCTTATTCTCTGAAATTCTATAAATGAGAATGAAAGGGAGTGAGCAGCAATCACACAATACTGCTGTCAGTGGGCATTCCCTCCCATGTATCAAACATATACAGATATGCCCCAGTAACTTGCCTGCCTTGAGTCTCCTGCTTGGAGGAGGGGTTGGACTAAAAGCCCTCCCAGGTCTCCCCAGCCCTATGATTCTTTATGTGCTATCCCAACTCCATCTCAAATTAAGAGTAGTGATTGGTGGATCCTTTCTCATCAGCTGGTTAGTTTCTTGGGAGAAGAGAATCCACCAGTCCCTTTCCTTAATATATCCTGCATATTGAAAAGAACAATACTACTTTTACCAGCGTTTTCTTGACACAGTGGAGACTAGCAATGGGGACAGCAAATACTACGGTATGCAGGTATAATTTACTGCTGGCAAAAGGATGGGTAGTCCTTTAACTGAGCCATGAACAATACCCCACAATCTAAGTTTTGCATATTCGATATGGTTTGATTATAATTGGACAGATCAACTACTAATATTTAGCCCTATTTTTTAAAAAAATAAAGTCTTTTCAAGAAGAAATGTAAAAGGCATTTTTAAAATTGAGTTGCTTCCTGAAAAGAATACAAACTAGTGTGAATGCTGAACTGTTATTTTAAAAAGCTCAAAATATCACTTTTTAAACTGATAGGCAGCCAGGGCTTAGTGTGATTTTGATTTCACAGGAGAGGTAAGTTAGCAAAGCAATTTAAATCTGTGGTGTCCTATTTAACTTCTTAAAGTTGAACCTCAATGGGATAAAAATAGACTGTGGGCCTGATGCCAACTTCCTGTATAAAGCTGAAAAATCATCTTGAATGTCTCTGAGGTCAGTCTATTTTGAACAGAGCCAACATCAACCCAAAGACCAATATTTAGTAAGAGAATGATACTCCCTTTCTAGACCAATTTAGAATGTCAGTAACTTATGCAAATTTTGATAACGTGCTTGTGGATATAAAATATAAGTGGGATTGCCAGGAAGGAAATTTCATTTAGTATTTGGTATAAGGATTAGATGACAACATAAAATTAGGCTGAATTAGATTTTCCCACTTTTATTTTTAATTTTGGAGGGGTGAAATAAATGGGATTGAAACAATAAGCTGGCAGGAGGGGAAAAAATGGATGGGAAAGGAGAGGTCACCCAGGATCAAACGCTGGCATGGAAGAAGGATAATCCAGGAGGAAATGCAGAATGGATTGCGCAGGAAGAGGAAGAAGGACTCAGGAGAAAAGGCAGAAGAGCAGGAAGGGATAAGGGGGACAAAGGTGGACCTGTGGAAGCAAGGAAAAGACACACACGCAAACACACAAGTAGACAAGTAGAAGAAAAAGAACAAATTGATCAACAAATTCCACTTGAACGGATAGCTTTAGCATTGATATTTTTTCAGTTGGTTTTTCTCCAGGAACATTCTGCTCTCCTTACCATTTATTATGTGGACCATACCATTTCAACTGTGTTGGGTTAAGAGATTACCAGATCCTTCAGAGGTAACAATAGACTGGAACTGCAAAAAAGAAATGCCTAGATCGCAAGTGAGGCAATTTGGGGGTAAGAATTAGAATCTGCTAATGGATCTGCTGGTTCTTTCTGGTTGTTTTCCTCCCAGTAGGACTGAAAGGAAACCACCGTGCAGAAGAGGAGAGAGCATCAAAGACAAATTAAGGGATGTGAACAATGAGGCATTTTTTCCAGCAACTTTTCATGCAGCTTTCACAAATACTGAACTAGGTCCACCATAATGAGTGCAGAATTAAGTTACTCCTACATTTATAGGACATCTGCATTTCTGAGAAGCTACAGATTGCCTTTTTAAAAAAAATAAAAATGGATGTGTACTAAGCATCAGGCTTTTTAGCAACTTTTTTTACATTAACATGTGAAAAAGACTAGGGACATGTTTTCAGTATTAAAGACTAAGTGACTATTTCTGCATGGTAGATGTTTGGTCTAATAATTCAAACTTTTCTATCTACTTTGTTTGTAAACACACCACCCACACAGGTTACTATATGAGACTTTGGATTTTTGCTCATAGTAAACGTCCTTGCATTTTTTCCCCCCTTGCATTATGAACCATAGCTAAAACAAGTCTAATTTCTCGCAGTGGCTTATTCCAATTAAACATGTTTTTCCTTTCCAGATTCATCAACCAGCTGGACAGAGGTTTATCTGATCCTACCAAAAGTCTCACTAGTCAACCAATTTGTTGGAACGAAGTCTAAGCCTTAGTTAACAAAGACTGGATGTTGTGTTTTCAAATTCTATACAAATTTAAAACCAACTAAAAAAATATCAGAGTGTTGCTAGATTACTTAGTATGGAGCCATCTAATATTAAAGGCTGTATTTATATCTAGAAGAAATTATGGAACATAATCAGAAGTAGAATGATTAAATATATGATATCAATGGGATTAAGATGAATCAAGGCATGTTATATGTCTAGTCACCAAATATTTGTTGCAAGTTAATTTTAAGTTTAATCAAGGCATTCATGAAACTTATTCCAAACTTTTGTTTTAACCAAACAGTATTGTCAAAAATCACAAAAACCTATGCAGCTTCTTATTAGAATGTTATCTATTCTATGCCATAAAAATTAATCATTCCAACATTTTATAAACCAAAGTATATAAACAAGTGTAACTGAAGACTTACCCGATTTCCTTTTTCACCTGATGGTCCTTGAAAGCCCTAAAATATATTTTTACAACTTTGAAAAAGTTATGTCATTTCAAGATAGGCAGAATTAGGCTCATAGTCCATTTGCCTCCAACCTATAATTGTTGTGGAGGTCCAGAAAATGTACCCTCTTATAATCTATATTTTTCCAGGTATCTGCACTAGAACTCCAAAAGGGATCCTTCCCTAATTTTGATTTGTTTAAATCAGTGTTTCTCAACCTTGACAATTTTAAGGCATGTGAACTTCAACTCCCAGAATTCCACAGCCAGCAATGCTGGCTGTGGAATTCTGGGAGTTGAAGTCCACATGCCTTAAAATTGTCAAGGTTGAGAAACACTGGTTTAAATAAAAGCAGATTGGCAAATATAATGTTCATTTTTGAGCTTTACAATTTATAAGCAACAAAGTTATTGTTGTTAACTGCTAAGTCGTGTCCGATCCATCGCGACCCCATGGACAACATTCCTCCAAGCCTTTCTGTCCTCTACCATCTTCTGGAGTCCATTTAAGCTCACGCCTACTGCTTCAGTGACTCCATCCAGCCATCTCATTCTCTGTCGTCCCCTTCTTCTATTGCCCTCAATCTTTCCCAGCATTAGGCTCTTCTCCAGTGAGTCTTTCCTTCTCATTAGGTGGCAACAAAGTAGAACATTGTTATTGCTTTTGCTTATAGGGAGAGCATTCAAAAGTTTCTAGTATAGTGCAGTGGTGGGATTCAAATATGTGAACAGCCAGTTCTCTGTGTGGATGCCGCTTCCGGAAGTCCATTCTGGGCTTGGGCAATAAAAAATTAGCTACCGGTTCTGCCGAACTGGTGCAAACTGGCTGAATCCCATCACTGGTATAGTGTTTTTCAACCTTGGTAACGTTAAGCTGTGTGGACTTCAACTCCCAGAATTCCTCAGCCCACATCCTGCTCTAGGATGTTCAAAAAAGATATCCGTGTAGGATGCAATTGGCACAAAATAAAAAATCTTCAGAGAGGAATATTGGCTCTGTACTTACGGGAAGGCCTGCTGGTCCTATTGGTCCTGTAGAACCAGAATCTCCCTTATTTCCCTGGAAGAGAATTAGAAAGACTGAAATAGTTGTGAATTTTGCTAAAGTACTACAGACAGAGAGTACTGTTGTCTCTTCATCTTTTCAATAAACTAATTTTTAATAATGGGGAGTCATGACTTGCTTTCCTCTCATGGTGCCTGGAAACTGTAGGGGGCTGAATGGGGGGGGGGAACAACAGATTTTGACTGAACCTTGACAAGCCAAATGGCTTTGGGCACACGGAGCCCCAAGATCTGAGACATAGACATCTTCAGTTCTGGCTGGGGTGGCACTACCCCAGATGGATGTGGCCCACAACTTGAGTGTTCTCTTGGACTTGGAACTCCTGCTCAAAGAGCAGGTGGCAGTCGTGGCTAGGAGAGCTTTTACACCAGAGGTCCCCAACCTTAAAGGCACAAGAGGCCAGTTATGTGGAAAGAGGTTTTTTCACGCACTGGAGGGGGCATGGTTTTCTTTGCTGCCTGCATCCTGCGGATGGGGCTTTCCTTGTTTGTGCGGACAGTTGCTGGCATCCCGTGGCCCGGTACTGGTCCATGGAGCAGGGGTTGGGGACCCCCATTTTACACAGCTTCCAATTGTGCACCAGTCATAGCCTCTCCTGGATCAGGATTCCCTGCATTCAGTCATTCAAGCCCTAGTCATCTTACAATTAGACTACTACATGGGGCTACCCTTGAAGAGTCTTTGGAAGCTACAGCTGGTGCAGTGTACAGATGCATGAGTAGCTTTGGGGCCCCAAGGTTGGTTCATGTAATACCATTGCCCTGCAAGCTGAACTGGCTGCCAGTTTGCTTTCAGGTGTAATTCAAGATGGTGGTAATCACCTTTAAAGCCCTTCATGGCCTAGGTCCAGATTACCTAGAGCAGAGTTCCCCAACTTTTCTGGCTTTGTGGACTGGCGGGGGAGGAGAGGGGATGGTTCCGTATGAGCAGTGGGCAAACATGAATGTGCACACAACTCCATTTGTGTGAGCAGTGGGCATGTTTGCCCACCAATCACATAAATGGAGTGTGCACGCACATGCTCATCCACTGCTCATGCAGAACCATCCCCTCTCCCTCCCGCCAGCCCAGTTCTGAATAGCTCAAGACCTGGTAGTAAGCCGGGGCCTGGAGGTTTGGGTCCCCTGACCTTAATGTCAGAGCATTCACAGTCTCATTATGCTGAGGTAACCCAGGAGTAAATACAGTAACAAAATACATACATGTGATCATTTAGCAAATTCCAATACACAGCAATTACAGCACGAGAGAGAGAGAAAGACTACAGCAAAAAACTCCCCTTTTATACTCAGACTCTTACAGTCCCTGCTTACTCTTAAAGGGACACAGACCCTGCTGAGTCATTCCTATATTGCATCATCCTATCATTGCATTATCCACATTCCATTATATCTTTACATAAGTTGTTTAGCTGTTAAATTATTATCCTGACACTTAAGGACTGTCTAATCCCACTGGGGTTGGCCTACCCACTCATCTCAACAGAAGAGGCAGGCTGTGGGCCCCATTGGCCAGGATATTCTGGCTGGGGTCCAGGAGAAGAGCCTTTTCTTCCCTTTGAAACATTCTCCCCCCTTTCCCCTGAGTGATTTCCAACCCTCCTGACCTTCTGCAAGAATTTAAAGATCTGGTTCTGCCACAGCTTGGGATCCAGTGGAGGGGTTTCCCATTGGCCATGGTTGATAGATTAACAGCAGCTCCCACCCCTCCCTTTCTTATTCTATTCCCTCCCCATCTTTTAGCTCATTTGATTATCTGGATGTTTTATAATATTGTATTTATATCATTAGGTTTTATACAGTTTTATTTTTTAATAGTGTAACCTGCTCAGAGTTGCCTTATGGTAAAAAGGGTGGCTAATAAATTTTACAAATAGATACATTTTACAAAAACATATAAAGAACCACTTTTAGTTCTTGGTCATAAGCTTCCTTCCATCTCCTTTATAGTGTGTGGGAGACAGTCATCTTTTTGCTGTTGCTGCACAGTACAGCTGTGAGTCAGATGTCCTTACTGTTTGGACTACAGACCAACCAATCCTGACAATAAATCCTACCTTCTCCCTTGCTCCCTGCTCTTTTAGAGAAATAACCTCCTTTTGATTGTAACACAAAAGCACATCTCCAGTTCAGTTCTAGAAAAATATTTCTACCTTGCTTGTGCTGGCAGTTCAAGGCAATTTACCGAGACATGGTAAAATATACCGTAATAAGAGCCACAATATATATAAAAAAACAATATTTAAAATAGATTTCCGGTTTGCTCAGGTGGCTGCCATGGACATTTGGAAGGCAAGCTTCGTCTTCCACATCCAGTTTTGCTTTGTTGGGGGACCCTAGAAAGGGTCTAAAGTCATCCTGCAGAGGCGACCAGCAAGGAGGGGATCCCTGTGATCTCAGAAAGGTGGTAGCTCTTCTATTTGATCCGAGGCAGCCCTCCAAACTGGCGGACGAAAGACCAGCCATAGAAATATGGCTCATCATTAGGCTGTAGACAGCCGAAGTCACACTTACCATCAGGCAACTTTAAAGCAGCGCGGAAGAGACTGGGTGAGATCTACCTCTTAAATCCTAACTACCTTTGTTACCTGCATAAGCTGTTTAAGTACTTTCCCTCCTGTGGAGAGGGAAGGAAGATTTTACCCCTCCCTAAAAACAGTGGTGACTGACTATTCAGGGGAGTTTAAAAACACTGCAAGAATAACTTGATCCTAATTGGAATTTTACTTCTTAAAGTTTGTGGAGTAAAAGACTTTTTACTCTTATTGAAGATCTGGGTTTTTATTTATAAAAAAGAAGTAAAACTGAAAAGATTATAAAAACTTTGGACCTACAGGAAAAATTTAAATATAGGGGCGACACCTTGTGGCTAAACCTGGTATTACAATCTGTTATTGTTTAAAAGAAACTTGGCTGACAGCCTAGACAATTGATCTTATACCTTGAGATCCTTATCAGCTGTGAAGTCCAGCTGTGTTCCATACTCACTGAAAAAAATTTTTTACACTCTCTGATTGCAAAGCTTTTAATTTAATACATTACTAAGAGAATATGGAGGAAGATCAGGAACAAATTCTCTCTATGTTGAAAGCAATTTACCAAACTATTCTTATAGCTACTGATGAAATAAGAGGTTGCAGAAAAGAATGGGATGTCAGCCAAGATACACAAACTCAAAATTTGATTACAACTGAAAAATCAACTACACAGAATGGAAAAAGTGGACCAATTAAATACTATGACAGAGGATTCAACTGATCAACAAATACAGTCAATGGAAAACCCAGAAAAGGGATTGACAAATCAGAAGAAACCTGAGGATCAAGAAGAACAACAGACTGAAAAAAAGATAAACAGTTTAAGACAATTACATCAAGATGGAAAAATAGAGAGACAATTTGTTAGTTCTCTCAAAAAAATGGTGATCAGATGGTTTTTTCTACGTCAAACAACATACATAATAATACAGGGAGATTTATTTGATGACTGAAAAGCACAGACATGGAAGACGATTTGGCAAAGAAAGAAAGCTAGAATAAGATTGAAGAAAATTGGGCTTTTGACTTACTAGTGAGAATTAAAACAGAATATTCTCAAATAGATAAGATGTGTACTTTGAATATTAGAAATTGTTATGAGTTGAGTTAAAGGATACTTTGGTCATTTAAGACTTGGAAATATAAACATTAATAGTTAAATTTGAATATTGAATATTGAATATAGGCAATTAATATTATATATATATATATATATATATATATATGTATATATATATATATATAAACTAAAAACGTATTGATGAATGTAACAATTTTTTTCATTTAGTAGTAATAATAAAAATTACTAGCTTAAATATGAGATAGTATATATTGAGAGAAAAAAGAGGAAGTATTAAACGTTGAAATAAGAGAAATTTTGGTTATTAAATTTAGATATTTGGAAATTATTAGAAAATAAGAATATTATATTGTACTATTACAATGTAAGATCTTGGGATGAATTGTGACGAAGGGAATTGGGATTATTTAAAACTTGGAAACTATAAATATTAAATGTTAAATTTAAATATTAATGGGATGTTAAAAATTGGGAAAAACTTACCAGGACATTGATTGTCTAAAAAGATTGAATGTTAAAATGACTTAAGATATGTATAAGCTAAAAATTATTGATGAATGTAAAAAAGTTATTTGTATTAAATTGATATAATAAGAATTGTATTAATTTAAATGTGAGACAATAAATACCAAAGGAAAAAGAGAGGAAATATTTAATGTACTAGTTCTGTGGTGGCGAACCTATGGCACACGTGCCACAGGTGGCACACAGAGCCCTCTCTGCAAGTGGGTGTGCTGTCACCCCAGTCCTAGGCTTTCAGCTGGATTTTATAAAACTTTTTCGCTTTAGGCTTCTGCCGCCGTGTGCAAAAAAAAAAAAAAAAAGGTTCAACCAATCAATCAATTTCAATTTCTCGCAGGAAAAAAAAGATATCGCAAAGTTGGAATTGATTGATTTTTAGTCCCACCCAATCTGCCGTTACCACTGCAGCCACGCCCACCCAATGGGCCATGCCCACCCGATGGGACACGCCCACCCGGCACTCAATGATACCTAAGTGGGTTTTGGTTCGCAGTTTGGGCACTTGGTCTCTAAAAGGTTCGCCATCACTGTACTAGTTAATGATTTATACTAAAAAAAATTGTATGTTATTGAATTATGAATCAACCCAACTGCCATTTTGCTTTTCAAATATTTAAATGTAAAACTGGAAAATTAATAAAAATTCAAAAAAAAACCAACAATGTTTAAAATAAACAAGCACAGATTTTTTAACTCTACTCAGAAGTCAACTGGTAACCAATATAGCTTTGTAAGAGAAGTGACACTGCAGTTTGAAGCAACTTGCAGCTTGGTATTCAAGAGCTGTCCTTTGTCCAATGCATTGCAATAGTCCAGGGGTCTCCAAACTTGGCAACTTTAAGACTTCTGGAGTTCAACTCCCATAATTCCCCAGCCAGCTATGTTTAAAACCAACAGTTTTGAAGACCCCTGAAAGAATTCAATCATGTGTTGACCTCAATGTAATTGTCTGAGGAGCTTCCCTGTCAAGAGAAAGGGCTCAGTTGATGCACAAGATCAAGGCTCTTCAAACTTGGCCCTTTTATGACTTGTAGACTTCAACTCCCAGAATTCCTCAGCCAGCATGCCTGGCTGAGGAATTCTGGGAGTTGAAGTCCACAAGTCATAAAAGGGCCAAGTTTGAAGGCCCCTGCACAAGATGAACTTGTGCAAAAGTTCTCTGGCCACAGGGGTGACTGCTCTTTGAGCACAAGTGACATCCAAAAGGACCCCCCAAGTTGTGCACCAGTTTTGAATGGGGAAGGGCTGTCCCATCCAATACCAATGATAAAAATGTACCTGACCCAGGGAGGCCAAATAATCAGTCACTCAGTCTTGTCAGGACTGAGCTGAAGTCTGTTCTTGTCAGGCATTATAAACCAGGAACCAGGAGAGAGTTCAAAAGAACTATGAGTTTATTCCATGTTATCTGAAATGGTACAGGTTCTCCTGTTTGAGCAGGGGGCTGGACTAGAAGACCTCCAAAGTCCCTTCCAGCTCTATTCTATTCTATGTTTCTACAAAAATCTAAACTACTAACAGTCAAGGCAAATTGGTGCTAGTTAAGAGTCAATTGAATTCATGAGTGGAGCGCAGTGACTCCAAACTGCTGAGGTATTTGACCCCACTCTTGGGCTCTGCCTGGTCATCTACAGTTCTATCCCATCCAGACCCAAACAGCTTGCATAGTCTGGGTCAGTACATTAACAATTTCATCTGGGCCACCCAGGGTTGAAAAATGCAGCTAGGTTATCATCAGCATACTGGTGTAATAACTATGACCACAGCTTTCCTCAAAATGATTAAACTGGGCCCCAAATTTTTCATACATGATAAATCTGTTTGAGACGCAACATTCAAGGGTAGCATAGACTAAAACACTATTTCTTGAGCACCTTTGTCCTTATCTGGATTAAGTTTCAATTTATTAATTCCTCCTCTGAGTACTGACTCCATACATTGCCTCAGAACATACCCTGCAGTGTAGCGGAAAGGAAACACAACAGTGAATATCAGCTGCTGATTGATGGATTCAAAAATCTTGATTGCCTAATGTCCTTACTTTTTTATTTCTGTTTTCATTATATCACATCTTGCCTGATACTATGGGCTTGGAGATAGTATCTTCCAATCCTTATTCAATAAACAGAGAAGGGGATTGGAGTGGCTAAGGTTTGGCCCTCAAATTCAAGATGACAGCTGTGATGATGCAATCAAAGCTCCAGTTCTTTGTATGTGTGACATGCATAAAAATGAGGGGAGTTTCGATTAGATCACTATGATTGCTATCTTGATTTATTAGGGTTTTTTTATCACAACCTGAAGGCATCTCTGAAATGGTAACAGAGGATACTAAATTAACATTCCCATTACTAGTCAATTCTGGTGATTGTAAGGATTATACAGGATCCTCACCCTCTCTCCTTTCGGTCCTGCTGGTCCTGGGACTCCTGCTGGTCCTGGAGTACCCTGAATTTTTTGGATAAAAATAAATACATGAAGCCCATTATTCAAACATATTTCAAGCAAGACAAGATGATGGTTTCTCAACAGAAGAAGAACTAAATAAAGGACTGAAGCTATTCACTTAAAACACTACAACTGTTAGAGTTGAGGAAAATAACAGCTTTACATTATATATAAAAGTGGGATTCTTGTTTGAGTGATTAAAAGTATAGGTAGAAAATGACAGTCTTTAGTGAATGAGACGAAACATTCAGCTTCAATTGCCAACAAAGCTAAAAGCTGTCACCAATGATCGCTTTAACCATTTTATGAGAAATTGAGTTGGGTGATAGACAAGCAAAATTTTAACCCTTTTTTTCTAAGAAATTCATCTTGCAGATTGATAAGCATACCGAAAGCATAATGCAATTATATTAACAGAACCAGCAACATAAGGAGGACTCATTCATGTTCAAGTCATATATTCACCAGGTGCTATTTATGTATCACTTCACTAGAGCAGGAAAGAGGGAACACCCTATGGGAACGCTGTTGCTAGCTCAACAGAGTCAAGCATTCTTAAAATTAAATTGGATTTTGGTAGGTTAATCAACAGAGTAATCTATTTGATTGATCTTCTGGATTGGTTGTAAAATCAGAATAATTACATTTTCCCTGGTTGTACCACTTCAAGTTGCAGTTGGGAAGAATGACTGTTTAAACACTTTCCTGATAAACTAAAGCTTCTTATTAACTACTGTCTTCTCTCATTTCGCTGAGAAAGTTAAAAAGGTTCCTCTGTTGAAATAAATAATTCTTCACTTTAGTAGAATTTTTCTTTTTCTTGATAACATTCATAGATGTACAGTACAGATTCTGACAAGGAAGGGATGTCTTGAAAGAGAGTTGAGATGCACTGAATCTAAAGAAATGTACTTTTAGACTTGCAAGATGGATGTCAGCCTTACTAGATAGGAAACAGGACAAAAGAGCTACTTCTACTTTGTTGTAAAGGTACATTAATAGAACACTGCAAGTCTAAAAGTACATTTTTCTCTCCACCACTTGTCTCCTTCAGTGCTGCAGAAACTAGGGAGAGTCTCTTCTGAGTCTCCTGTTCGGGTCTAGGACAAGTCGGCATGGCCAATTCACCACAGCCAACTCAGTGCAACAATTAGCTGAGACAATTCGCCATGGCCAACTCGCCACAGGGCAACTCACCATGGGACAAGAATTACACTTATATTGAAGAAATGGTGGAATAGAATAGAATAGAATAGAATAGAATAGAACAGAACAGAACAGAACAGAATAGAATAGAATGGGACATTGGAGATCTTCTAGTCCAGCCCCCTGCTCAAGTCAGATGATTGTCCAGTCTCTTTTTAAAAACTTCCAGTGATGGGGCACCCACGATGGAGTGCCCATGAATGAAGAAGGAAGGACAAAATGAAAGGTAAATGTCAAAAATTAAAATAATGTTTTAATTATTTTAAATACTTAAATTGAATTGTTGAATTGTCCTTCAGCGAGTTATCCCATGGGGAGTTGACTGTGGTGAGTTGGCAGGGCCAAGTTGTCCCATTCCATTCTTGTTCCTCCCTCTATCCAGCTGCAGGCCATGCTTATATATCTCTTGACTCAGTTTTCCAAGGTCTTTTCCATATACAATTACAAATATTATGCACTGTAGCACACTACATTCAAGTTGTTTTGCACTGGAGGCTTTCAGGTTAGCAAGCATGAGGTGAAACTACTTTTTATTTTTTATTTTTTTTAAAAGTGTCTCAGGCTATACTTTTTTTAACTTCACTTAATAGAACCAGAAATTTCAGGAACAAGAGACATGCAAATTTGTTTTGGGTATATCTTTAGATACTGGATTATATAATAATAAATTTAACAACATATATATATATATATATATATATATATATATATATATATATATATATATATATATATGTCTTTGGTTGTTCGGGTTTTCTCCCGCGTAAAATTGGAAGTGTCTTGGCAACGTTTCGACGAAGTCACATTCGTCATCTTCAGGCTGGTGTTTTTAGCTTCTTGCTTTGAGCAGCAATGTGTGGTTTTAGCTGTTTCTTCCTTTTAACTGCCAGTGGGGTATGAACTGATTGGATGGGAGCTTGGCTGTGTTCTGATTGGGTGGAGGTGTGTTCTGAATGGTTAGGGGCTTGGCTGTGCTCTGATTGGCTGGGGGAGTGTTCTGTTTGGTTGTGCTCAGGTTAGTCTGAGTTGCAGAGGGGTTTAAGATTTTGGGGTTAGGGAGTCGTTTGTCAATAAGGGCAGGTTTCCAAATGGCTGGTAGGCGGGAGGTATCATCTCGCTTGTTCATGCTGTGTGGGCGTTTTTCTATCTCGATGGCTTCTCTGATTATTCTGTTATTAAAATGTTCACTTTTGGCAATGGTTCTGGTATTTTTAAAGTCAATTTCATGTCCTGTGGCTTTAAGGTGTTGGACCAGGGAAGATGTTGGTTCCTCTTTTTTGACTGAGTTCTTATGTTCTTCAATGCGTGCACTTATTCTTCTGTTGGTTTGTCCGATGTATATGGTGGGACAAGTGGTGCATGGGATTTCGTATACTCCTTGATTTTCTAATTCAATTTTATCTTTGGGGTTTCTAAGGATGGTGGATATTTTTCTGTTTGTGCAGAATGCTGTTTTGATGTTGTGTTTATGAGGATCTTACTGATTCTGTCTGTGGTGCCTTTTATGTATGGGAGGAGGGCTTTGCCGTTTTCTTGTTCTTTGTCTTGGATTTTGTGGGGGTTTCTTTTTGGATTAGGTTTGTAATCTTATTTCTTTGGAATCCATTGGATGTTAGTACATTTGGTGAGAGTGTGTAGTTTCGGTTTTTAGGTGTTGTTCGTCAGCTAAGCGTTTTGTTCTGGAGATGAGTGTCTTGGCTACAGAGTTGATCTGTGCTGGGTGGTGGTGTGAGAGAGCGTGCAGATAGCGGTTTGTGTGTGTTTTCTTCTGGTAGATGGTGTGTCCTAGGGAGCCATTGGATTTCTTGTAGACTAAGACATCCAGGAAGGGAAGTTGGTTGTTAGTTTCTGTTTCCATGGTGAACTGTATTTTGGGGTGTAGGCTGTTGAGGTGTGTGAGGAAGTTGTCCAGTTTTTCTTTCCCATGTGGCCAGATTATGAAGTGTCGTCTACATATCTGAGCCAGAGTTTGGTTTGTGATCCGATTTTTCTAGAGCTTGGGTTCAAATTGTTCCATGTAGAGGTTGGCAATGACAGGTGAGAGGGGTGATCCCATGGGTGCTCCTTCTGTTTGTTTGTATTTTGTCCGTTATAGATGAAGTATGTGTTGGATAGGCAGTGGTTGGTCAGATCTAAGATGTGTTTGGGGGGGTTATTTGTTTTTGATAGCTGTCAAGGCTTCTTTGATAGGCACTTGGGTGAAGAGGGATATGACATCGAAGCTCACTAGTAGGTCGCTGGGCTGTAAGCTTTGTTTCTTTATGATCTCTATAAACTGGAATGAGTTTTTTACGTGTGAGGTGATGGATTCTGCATAGGGCTGTAGTTGTTTGGCGAGAAATTTGGCTAGGTTTTGTAGAGGTGAGCCTATGGAGCTGACTATAGGTCTGAGTGGGGTTCCTTCTTTGTGTATCTTGGGGAGACCATAGAGTTTAGGGCATCTGGATGATTTCTCTCTGGGAATGATTCTTTGCTGGATCTCTTCGCTAATGGGGGAGGCTTTTATCTTGGTTCTGGTGGTTTTTTCCAGGTAGGTGGTGGGATCTGTATTTAGGGGTTTGTATGTGGAGTCTTGGAGTAGGTTGGTTAATTTGGTTTGGTAGTCAGATGTGTTCATAACCACCGTGGCGTTGCCCTTGTCTGCTGGTAGATTATTATGCTGGTGTCTTCTTTCAGGTTACGTAGTGCTGTCTGTTCCTCTTTGGGTAAGTTGCTTTTGGGTGGCTTGCTGGTGCAGAGGATGTTGGTGATTTTGAGTCTGATTTTGGTTAGCGTCATCGGGGTTGATTTTGGTCAGGCTGGTTTCAACTCCACATATAATGGTTTCAGTGGGGATGTGTTTGGGAGCGACTGCAAAGTTGAATCCTTTGGAAAGGACATTGGTTTCGGCTTTGGTGAGGATCCTATCTGAGATGTTATGCACTGTTTGTTTCATGTGTGGCTGTGAGGGAGGAGGGGTTTGTTTCTGGCGTTCTTGTAGTCTTCGATTGTTGTGGTGTCTCTGTCCTTGAGGGTGGTCCTGTGTGATCTTTCGGCTCTCCAGACGGCGAGTTGTTTGGATTTGTCCCAAGTGCGGGGTGGATCTTGTTGCTGAGTTTGAGGTGGAGTGTGAGGAGATCTTTGTTAATTCGGTCTAGGAGGAATCTTTTTGTGTGAAGTTCATTTCTGATTAGGGCCAATTCTGTTCTTTTCAGGATCCGTATGGTGGCTGCAGAGTTGGAGTGGAATTTCAGTTGGAAACATGTGGGGATTAGATTTTGATCTCGGCAGTTACGTAGGAATGCGAGGTCACATAAAATGGAAGCTCTTTGGACTTCAAGTTTTTCATAGGTCCTGGTCAGATGGTGGATTTCCTCCCCGTAGAGGTTCGATATTTGTTTTCTGAGGTTTTCGCGGGTATTTGTATATAGGTCTTTGGTTGTTCGGGTTTTCTCCCGCGTAAAATTGGAAGTGTCTTGGCAACGTTTCGACGAAGTCACATTCGTCATCTTCAGGCTGGTGTTTTTAGCTTCTTGCTTTGAGCAGCAATGTGTGGTTTTAGCTGTTTCTTCCTTTTAACTGCCAGTGAGGGTATGAACTGATTGGATGGGAGCTTGGCTTTGTTCTGATTGGGTGGAGGTGTGTTCTGAATGGTTAGGGGCTTGGCTGTGCTCTGATTGGCTGGGGGAGTGTTCTGTTTGGTTGTGCTCAGGTTAATCTGAGTTGCAGAGGGTTTTAAGATTTTGGGGTTAGGGAGTCGTTTGTCAATAAGGGCAGGTTTCCAAATGGCTGGTAGGCGGGAGGTATCATCTCTC